AGTCGAGCGAGACTACATTAACCAAAAAAAATTGGTGTTACTTCAAGGTAAGAAACCATTGCTTTGTCTCAAATAACAAGCCCACTAATGAAAGCGTTTTATATGAGATTAAATTATTTAGAATATTCAACTTCTGTCAGTCTCAAAATAATTGTTGACACAGATAGATGCCTGAAATGAAACAGCTCAGCACCACTTCTCAAAATCAGTTAAAATAAAACACATATAAACCTTGCTTTTCGACGCGAATGCTTCAGCAGTAAGTAAAGTATAGCTAAATTCAGCTCACGGCCACTTGTATCGCAGCGAGAAAATATCTGCGACACAATATCAAATTGATTTGAGAATCATCAACCACAGGGGACACAAATTTCCATCGTCACTAACGCTCGTTTCATTCAAAACGCGAATCAAATGGCCTCCAAGGTGTCGATGTTGACAGCAACCGCAAGTTTTCCGAGCATGTTTTTCAACTCCTGCAATATTCAAGGCAACATCCAGGTTTTTCAGCTCACAGCGGTGCTGTGATGACAAAAACTGACATGACATTTTCAGCATCTTCTATAAGATTTGTGGATTTCACAGCTCAATTCTGCTTTCACTGTAATGTGCGGTTCAATTCTACCTGTTACCATCCCTCCCTCCGGCAACCCCGGGACTAATCCTGTCCTTCGTGACTGTGGGTGGGAAATCGACCCTAGGAAAAAAGATGGCGGCTGTACACTTTACCACAATACCAATACAAAGAAAGCCAAAATTTTACAATATTTGTCCCTGTACTAAGGACATTGTGTGGCCTAGGTTTGAAGAATTAATAACTTTTCTGTACATTTTCATGAACGTTGCTAAGGTTTACGTACGCTAAGAACTATGAGTAAACGTACCAATCGCCATCTTTTTTTCTATGGAGGATTGTTTAAGGCGGTCGTGTTCCGGGGGTTGAGGAGGAGGGGCGGGGGGAAAGCAAATCAAAAAATTGCTTTGTGCACTTGGTTTAATAAACGCAATGGCGACGCACCGCTTGAAGGACGTAATAAGGGAGACTTTTTTTGTGAGAAGGCCAGAAGAGTTTGTTTCGGGTTGGCTGAAAAAAAAAAAAAAAGCCAAGTTTCTAAACTTTGATATTTCGAAAAAAGACAAAATTTTTCCCATAGGAAAAATGAAAATGCTAAATCTTAACTATAGATCCCCAACCTTTGCAAAGAGATTACTGAAACGGTTCTAAAGTGTTTGAAACGTTTAACTTAATTTTTTTTTAGGGGCACCTGGTTTGAAAGCCTGTCACTCCTAGTGCGAAACTATAGACCAAGTCATAAACGGCGCGTTAGAATACAAAATCCTGATAGCTCAGAAAGAAGGTGGTAGGGGTTGATTCTTTTTTTTTACCAAGCAGGGATAACATAGCCTTCTTTATTACATAAACACGAATGAAATACTAGATGGGCTTTCGCGCTAAAACTTGATATACTCACATTTCCAAATAGCATGCATGTTATTTTCTCAACCGAAAAGATCACAGTTGCTATGGTTACATAACACATCGCGCCTTTCGCAGCGAAAATGAAATGGTTTGGGATTTCATTGCTGTTTAAATAATACATAGAGCATTACATGGCTTGCTTGGAGATATCAAATATTATTTGGCTACGCGTGGCCATGTTATATCCTCTATTTAACATCGGACTTAAATAAAAAGAAATGTTTCTAAAGAGCAATTTCAAGAACCTCCTTAAAATGTTCCAAAATCTTAAGGGTGCTCTGAAACCCCTCTGAAGAATTTGTTTAACTTGACAAACACTTATTTTTGATCCTGATTCTGTCAATAATAACAAAGTGGGGGTCTGTGAATTTGTTCCTGTGTTATCGTATTATATTGTAAGTTGTGTAAGTGTTAGTACTTTAAGTGTCGTAAGTAATCGTATTGTATAACAAATAGCGTAGGTAGCTGTATTAGTATTGTAAGTAGTGCAAGTAGCCATGTTAGTATTTTAAACAACATACTGTAGAAATGTCACTCCCCATTCTCTCCAAACATGTGCCTGCGAAGCAAGTTTGCTTGAAGTTGAGTTCTTTCGCAGCAGTAGCGGCTCCATATGTAAGGATAAATCCCACGCGGAACGTTGGTAAATTTAATTGTCGCAATGAGCGAGGAGAAAAGACGATTTCTAGATGCTCTAGAAGCAAACCTACAACCAACGACCACATTTATTATTTAAAAGTTAAAAGTTTAATTCTTGGTAACCACGCACTGAACGGCGCGTAGTGGACGACGGTGAGCAAACGTCATGGACACACGCAGAATATTAACGTAAGTCATTTGTTGTTCCTGGTAGCCATTGCAATCTGTCACCGTCGTCCTTGCTAAAGGTTCCTATTCTCGACAAGGCTCGTCTGTATACTGAACAATTAAGTTCTGGGGTTTTTCTCGGGAGGCCAGTCGAAAACATTGCATCACTTGACTAGTATATCTACATTTGTCTAAAATTTGAACAAATTCGAACCAAAGTTTGTTTCTTCAAGTGTCCAAGTATTGTACTAACAAAATCTACACAGAACTGAATGAAAAGAGACCTGAAGGACTCTCAATGATTTTTTTTGGTTCGTTGTAGCCGCTTGCAACGATGCAATAAGCAAAACGTTTCCTTTGATTGGTTCTATTTGTGAAGATAATTGAGATGTGCAGCAGCTACAGGGACTTACAACTTGACTCCGAAAAAGTCTCTCCAAATACAACTCAAATTCCGCGAACAAAAAAAAAAGACTACTTTAAACGAATTTTATTTAGTTTAACATTCTGAAACGTATGCATTTTTTTAACTAACATATATTTACGGTATTATTGCATTCATGTCTGGATGGAACAACTGTCTTAACTATGAAGTTTACAGTTTGTACTTCTAATTTAAACAATTCAATCCTGTGTTTATCCGCCCTCAAGTAGCACGCAGCTTACAAACATTTCCATCTAAATCTCTACATGTAGGCTCTTCAGTCGTTATTAACAGACTGGAAAAATCTATATGAAGAGAAGTTATGTCATTCAGCACTCCGCTAAGATGATATAGTGCGTCAGTGTAGCGTGATAGCGCGCGAGTCATTTGCACAGTTTGAAAATTGTAGTTAGATTGGAAACTAATTTGTTTCTGCTCGAATCTGCAAGAGTACTAATAACTTCGTGGGATGCAAATTTATTCAGGAAAGAGATTTGGTGGGATAAGAGTTTCATCCTCAACGAATTTCGTTTAAGTTAATTTGTTGCTATTTGAAATCTATTTTTGCATCATGAACAAATTAATCAACAATAATTCCAATGCTTTTCTTTTGACTCCTGGTGCCTTTTGTCGCACGGAAAACTTGACAAAAGCACTATCATGGTACTGGCCCTTTGAATACATGTATATGTAAAACTTAGTTGTACTAATCCCATTAAACATTTTGAGTAACATGCAAGGTGAATAATAACTACTGTTATAATGATAAAGGGTCCTTATTCATAGTTTTAAATAGACGTTAAAACTTACAAGGTACTTATAGAGTTATAAACTGTCCCAATAATAACAATGTTTAACTATAATCCAACTTGTAAGCAAGGAAATTTTGGGCATTTTGTAGTTTCGGCCAGAAATTGTCTCGCATGCAAATGAGGAAAGTTGAAAAGGGTTATTGATATTCATTACTTATCAATTAACATATGCGGAATCAAATAACAAAGGTACTGGACGTATATCTATAAGTGACTATTGTCTGTTTAAATACCTTACACGATGTTAGCACTACAGCTTAAATATATTTACAAATTAAAGTAAGGAATTTGATCATTCCCTGAATAATGCCTGTCTGTGAAAATAACTTCGTTGGCTGGATTCTATCACAGTGGAGTTAACTAAGGAACATGAAGACTAAGATTACGAAATAATGACGTAAGGTAAAACCCTTGAAGAATATCATTGAAGAATTAAACAAAGTTTAATGTAAATCGATGTGATACAAAGTGAAATTCTCATATCCATCTGATTAGAAAACTTAAAACACCAAAGAGAATTTTGAGACAGATGTTGGGCCAAAAGAAAGAGGAGACTTACAAACTGAATTGTTTCTTGGTTAGATTACCGAAGGAAGAGGTTATTTTTGATAGAGTGAGGAAACAGCAAAATGTCTGGAAGAGATTTCTTTTGTTTGCTTCTTAACTGTACATTATGTACACACGATTTACCAGCTCAACATGCCGCCACGGAAATCCGCAATATTGTACCTAGAGAGTTCTACCACCGTCATTCCACATCAGCCGGCATTTTCAGCCGTGCAAGGAATTCATAATTCTCTCCTCTATACCCGTCCTGTACAGGCGCCTGACGCTATTGCATTCATTGCTACCACGGCGGCTAAAACCGTGAGCCAAAAACTTTGTCACGCCTTGTGTAAATGTTTCACAATGTCGTCTGTGTCCTCGCGTAAATCCTACAAAACCTTAGTGGTTTGTGTCTTCGAAATAGCCGCTGGTGTGGCTTAAATACAGGCGTTTAGTATATGTTTGTAAAACTTCCTGAAGAGGGCTACTACTAGTTTAGTGTTTAATTTTAAATTTAAAAAATTCAAACCAAATTTAAAAAGAAACAAAAAGTTGTAATTAAAAAAAAAAAATGTAAAAATTCTCGATCTGCTTACATTACAGAAACTAGGCTGTGCTACTAATTTAAGTTACTATTTTATGCAAATTGATTGGATAATGTCTGGGATGTCAGCCAACCATGTTTACTAAAGAACTTTTGGCATTCGCTACTGGTGATTACACTAGATACATTTTTTGAGAACCGAAATCGAACAAAAACACACAGATAAACAAACATACAAAACAAAAGTTTACCTACAGCAGTTAAAAACGAGTTATCCCTTGAAGAGCAGTTTTTCGCGGAGCTCCGGCGGCCCTAAGGGCCGCCAAGCGGAGCCCCATACTCATGTAGGAAAGAAAAAGAAACCCACGAGTTGATTTTCTCATGGTTATCATGGCTAGCCGTGTTGCTCGTGGGCGCGTACGCACGACGGCAACGACGGCGACGGAGTTGCCCAACATGGCGGCCATACTTCAAATAATAGGTTGACAGACATGCAGCCTTGGTTTACCGTGTACTTCCTTGATATTGGACATCCGTGTTGCGATCAATTGACACCTGTCAAAACAAGGTATCCGCTGACCAGTATCACGTGACCATATCGCGGGCTCAAGTTTAAAGCTCCTCGAGGTCACGTGTTTTTTGAAGTTGATAGCTGACCAAGTGCTGGTTATCGATTAGATCGCGGGCTCATATAAGGTTAACTTGTTGGAAACAGGGCAGGATTGCTCGGAAGCCGGTCAACGTTAACCCAGGATTAAAAGTTAACCAAATTATAACTTTTTCTTCTATACAAAAGTTTTTTACTGTTTTGTTTTGTGTGTAGGGTGATTATTAAAACTGAAAACAGAAGGCAAAACAATATACAGAAAACCTCACCGCAAAGTTACAAAACTCAAATCAAAATTCTACCTTTTTATGGGTTAGCTTAATCGGGCTTTGAACAACCCGGCCCAGGAGCTACGCTTTTAGGCTGGCCTAAATCTATATATTAAGATAAGACAAAGTAATGGTTGTTCCGTGTAATCAAGAAAAATTGTTTCTCAGGCTTTCAAATCAAATTTCTTTTTAAAGTCTCTTGTCTTGAGGAATGGAAGTTATGAGAGTTTTTAATAACCCTCACTTTTCAAAAAATATATAAACGACTAAATATTGAAAAAATTATCAGATTTTAAGTTTTTCTAATCACACTCTATTTCCTTCTCTATAAACAAGAGCAAATGGATTGCTCGAATCACGGACAGGAATAGACCTGCTTTGATTCAATATCTTTACTGCAGGACCAAACAAATTTCTCAGAAGCTCTCTTAGAAGACAAAATGTGCAAAGTTATAACAAATCAATTTGAGCAACTAATTTCTTTAAAGCCTTGACTTTTGTTAAGAGAATGCGAGTTACTTTGCTAATGCTATTCGCATTGATATGATTGCTATTCATCTACAAGCTCACTGTACAGCGTTACAGTATCTTGCCTAAAAAAACAGACGTCTTATGTCACGCCCTCAAGTCTTCTCCCGAGATACGCCTGAAACTCGATGTGCATTTTGTTTGTTTATAGTGGTCAGGTTGTTCGTAATCCAGGTTTAAGAATTGATGGAGGTTTAAAGTTTTCTTTCATGGGTAAAGTATTTTCTTTGCTAATTTTTAGAGGACTTAGAGC